CCTTTGGGGGGGGGGGGGGGCTTAGGGATCCAAAGGTCTACAAATGTAAATAATAACAAGGAGGAGGAGGAGGAGGAGGTGGCAGCAGGACTAGAATGGTAGCAGGAGTCAACAAATTTGAACTTGGTTTACTAGCTTAGTTCCTGAGTTCTCCTGTCTGGATACTTTCCTTTATAGTTTCTAAGCAAAGCTTAATGGCTATCTGTACATATGCATTTAGAGACAACAAGAAGCAGCTTCTGGAGCAGCTACAATATACGAACCTGGAAAAAGATGCAGTTACTTTAATTATTCAGAAACAAGTGGCTTGTAATGTGCTTCCCTGCACCATTTTTTCAAAGAGTTTGCACATTTCAAGTTCCTATTCCTTTTTACTAGTACCATCACCACGATTCCTGCAAAATTTCAGGAGGAAGTGGAATTTTGATGTGTGGCCCAGGGCACTGAAGGGCACATATCACTGGCAAAAAGGGTAAGAGGATTTAAGAAACTCTTCATAGAAGCAATCAGCAAAAAGAAAAGAGCTGGCATATACTGTACACACAAAAAGCCAAATATAATTCAGTAGTAATAAGGGAAGTTTAAGCTAGGAATAAAATCAATAAATATCCTACAAACTGTAATAAAATTAACTGTTGACTCAAACTAACTGTAAAATCCAGTCCATTCTAACTTTCTTGGCACTGTCTATCACTCTGCATTATTCCTCTTATGGCTAGACTTTAAAAAATTTTCCATCTTCTGTCCTTAATGTTCAGGCACACTAACAACTTTTTCTTCGTTCATAAAAGCTGTTCTGCAGATATTTTGATAGAATGTTCACAGGCACTCCATAATATCACCCCACCTTAGCAAGCCTATATTATTCAACTCAGCCCCAAGAATGTATGTTTTGATCGCAAAAAAATCCAAACCTTAAATTAAGCAAGTTCAAATATTTCTATCTTCAAGATCATTTTCCTGAAACTAAATCTGAACCACCAAGATTGGGCCAATCCTGTTTACTTTTTTTTTCCTATTAAGAACAGATTTTATTTTTGCTTTATCTTTATTGCTAATTAAAAGAATTATAAGGAAAAATACATTATTGTATGAATATTCATTAACACATTCCCAGAATAGAAAGCCCATGCTAATTATTTATTCTGCAATAATTGAACTGGAATATTAGATTGATTTTAAGAATATCCCAAAGCTGTGTTGATGTACAGTAGTCTTCAGGAGCTGCATTCAGTGGAGTAAGTTTTACATAATAAACAAGGAATCTGCAAATGGTAAACTATTTTAGAATACATTTAGAGTATTTCTTAAAATATAAAAATACACTGGTTAGGCTCTAACATCATAGAAAACTATACAGCCTTTGTATTTATAATGAATATGGCTATTACTAATAGCTATTTTAGAAGACATTGGCTTTAGAATTATGAAGAAATTTTTACAATAAAAGAAGAGCATTCTATGTGTTGAACATTCCTATGTGGAAGGAACTGTAGAGTTCTTGCAAAATTGATTTCCTCTTCTCCAACCTCCTTCTCATTTCTCTGACTGGCAACAGAACAAATAGGCTGCCCAGACACAGAGAACATTTTCTATCTGTGCTCACATGATTTTTCATTAGTTCTAGTTTTAAAATTATCTAGCAACTCTAACTGGAAGAAAAGGATATTGCTACTCTAAGTAGTTTTAACGTTCATAGGTGGCTCCACAAATCTGGACTGCCTTATTAGCTACTCAATGTTCATGGTAACTTAGGAATAAAGAAGGATAGTTTATGACAAGCTCTGCAAACACTTGGAAGCTGCAGACTCTTTTCCTACTGCTTCCAAGGGTCTTCAAAGACCAACATAAACTGAGATAGTGATCTCTATCTTTCCCCAAATTCATCAAGCATGCTGAAGAAACAAGAACACCTGTTTTTCCTTCCCAATATTATGGGAAGCACTTTCCTCACTTCAAAGTTTTTTGTAACATAGGCAAAGATCATTAATTTTTAATCTGATCACAACAAAAGTAGTTATTTCTCATGCCATATTCCTTATATCAAAATGTTCCACGGACTGCTTTTCTACAGGGCCCCACCTGCAGTTTACTTTAACAGAACAAGAGCAATGCTATATGCAAGCTCCAGAAAAACTGTAATTTTATAAGAAGCAATGGAAACTGAAGCTAAGCACACACACAGCAGTTAGCCTGTTCTAAGACAGGAGACCAAACCATTGTAGTAGGCTTCAACGGGGAGCTGTTCTAGACCCTACTCTCCTGATGTGAATAGGACTGTTCTTTTCTTTATTAGCTAGTTTGAATCATCTGAAAAAGGTGCAATAAGCTCAGTTATTAGAGTACCCATTGATACAACAGAAGTTAAAGCAAGATCAATTTGAAAAAAAAAAAATTAAGATATACACTTACCTTCCCAATTCCTTGGGTTCAACTTCATAGAAATTATAAAAATTATCTGACTTTATTTGTGTCTGAGGAGATATAAGCAACAAGCCGGTGATGCCTTTGTTCTCTGATTTCCTCCTAGACATAGTTAACGCATGGGATCTCTCCAGGGTGGATACTGATTTTCACCTGTTCAAAGAAAGATGTATTTAAAGAAAGGTATCACATGGTCCTACTATATTACCATTTTGCTGTTAGTTTTTATTCAGTTAGTTAAAACTATTGACTCATTTGAAATAAAACTACTGCCTTTAACAGTTTTGAGATCTGGGAAGAAACAATTTTAATATAAAAATTCCCACAGATTTATATAAATCAATCAAACTCACTTTTTAATTCATTTTTAAAGAATGTAATCAATAAAATAATTGAATAACTGTCCTAAAGCAAATAATGTAACTATCTAATTTCAAAGTGGCTGTAAAACCAAGCAAAACCAACCCAAGATGTGATGTGATAAAAACAGTCTTTGTTTTTTTACAGTTCATTATTTCATAAAATGAATTTATAACAGCTGTAATGCCACTTGGCATTCACAAGATTGACAGCTGTTTCCCAAACAGGGAATGTCTTCTTTGTCTCAATCAGAATTACATGAGTTTTAGCACCAACAAGCAGTTTCCCCCTCCAAATCCTGCAAACTGCTATGGAGGAAAAAGTTTTGTCTTTAAAAAGTTTGCCAGAGAAAAAGAACAAAAAGTTTTGTGCCAAGGTTGGGAAGAAGGCTGGAATCTCTTCAGTCACTGAGAAAAAGGAAAATATCTACAAGAAGCTGGAAAAAGGCCAGAAAAAGGCCAGAAAAGCAAGGGGATTTTAGCTTCAGGCATCAGGTCATCCTAAGGAATAGGAAACTAGTTGAGCTAGAAATATTGCATCAGGTTACTTTTTATCTTAACAGGGTATGTGTTTAAACCTGATTTACTGTCTCTGATTATTACTGTCTCTACAATCTCAATTCTTATGTGTTTTATGCAAATTTACATCAAAGTTGCTTCTATACTGGTAGCAGATCTATCATTGTGTGATCTGCTCAGAGCAGTCCTTCTACTGACTTGCATGTTCTTCTGTGGGAGTTTCTTTTTCATACTGTCTTTTTAACAGCTCTGTATTTCAATTCCTTTTCCACTGAATGTTGTGCATACAGCTACTTAAAAAGGACTTGCTACATTCCCTTTTCTCCCCTACCTTTTTAAAATAAACTAAATTTTGTTCTATTTATCTCTTGTCAGAACTGTCAGTCTTCTCACACAGGCGAAGAGGCTGATTCCCCTGGTAGCATCCCTCAGTGCTACAGGGCCAGGAAGTGGCACTACAGTATTTATTTTCCTTTTATCATGTTTCCTCAGGTTTACACCTCAATAAGGCACAAGGGCTGTGCAAGTCCTTCACACACACCAGAGTTAGGGGGAAGTATGTCATGTAAAGTCACATCCCTGAAAGCTAGGTAGAGGCAGTAGGTAAGTACATAGGCTCACACTAAAGCAGGAGGCAGAGCTAGGGTATGTAATTCCAGAGGCCCCTGGGAGATGGGGCGTAAGACCTCCAATGTCTCATCCTCCAGGCTCAAGAACATTTAGTTACAAGAACATTAAATTGGGCAGCGTTTAAGTTATAATAAACTTTTTCCAGATTACTAAATGTTGAAAATATATAGGTATCTTAATTATATTTGAATTACACCTAATGAAATAATAGGCAATTTTCAGTACTTTCGGGGGGCTTTCCCCCACTAAACCTTTGATGTAAGGGATGCTGCAATAAAAATAACTTATAAATAAGACAGTGTGAATGCTTACAGTTAAACTGCATGAAGCCTGCTTCATCAATTTATTTCACAGATATTTCAAAGAATTTTGGCCATTAGGAAAAAAAGAATCACTGAAACATTCATATAGCATATAGTGTTAAAAATGTGTGCTTTTCTGGTTAAATATAACAAATCATATAAATCATAGCCCAAATTATTTATGACATCAGGAAATTTTATTTTCAAACCTAAATTTATAGAAAAATCCATATTATGGGGAGGAAAGGTGTTACCCAATACATTACACATCTTGTAGTTTTCAGCAGTAGTGTGAAAGTTTTATTAAAACAAGAATTATTGCATACATGAAGTGATCTTGCCAAGGAAGGCTATGATGGCTTCCACAAGGAAATTTTGCCTCGGTAACTTCTCATTATTCTTTAAGAATGGGTGGGACCAATAAATGTGTATCATTTTTCTTCCCCCCCCCCCAAAATTCATTGCTGAAACAATTCTAAGGAGGTATAATTGTCAAATTTTACAATTAGTTCTACTAGTTATCAGCAATGCTATTACTTTGTTCATAATTCTAGAACAGAGAGTAGACAATGTGAGTGATATCAAATTATTTAAAATTTGTAATACTAAGACCAAGAAGAGCTTAAAATGGATCTCTCAAGTTATTGTTGTGAGCTACTCTAATTCAAGAATAAATGACTGCTCTCTTACAAAACATTTCTGAACACACTGTACATACTTCCTATCATTACAGCTAATCACAGTCTTATAACAAAACTGAAGCACTTTTTACACAGAGCAAGCCTTGCAAATTTGCTGCTCATGCATTCTACCAAGATAATAACTAGGCCTAGGTAGGTGGCAGCACCTACCCAAATTTTATTGATCTCAAAAAAGCAGAGTCAGGACCTGTGTAGTAGCTATACAGAAGACTATCAGATAAGCCCAGATCTGTAGGCTAGACTGGGAAATTAAAAAAAAAAAAAAAGCTTCCACAGCAAGGAAAAATCATTTCCACTGCCAAAACACTTCCCTACGGTTGTCAGGAAAACTACATGGACTTGTCCACAAAGTCACCAGAAATCAACCTTGACTTGTAGGAAATTTTACCTTAACCAAGATAGTTTAGCAATACCACAGATTCCCCAACACTTCCAGAGAAAAGGAGAAGTCTTGCACTGACGTATTTTAAGCCTGTACGTTATAATTTGTTATGATTCATACTTTACGACATACCCTCAGTTGCATGCAGTTCCATTCTCAGGTATATATGTTAAGTGAAAAATAATCATTTAAGAATCTAAACGTTCGAAGGTGTAGGAGAATCTATTTAGCTAAAACAATTCCAGAGTAACAAAGTTAAGAGTTGGTCTTAGAATGTCGATTTTAAAAAGTCAACTGTACAGAGGTCAAAATATAACCTACTAACAGCTAGTTTTAAAGAAATAAGTTGAACAGAGGTGAAGTATTTATCCCCATTTTACAAGTATAGCTTAAATGACTTGCATGTTTTATATAATAAAACATTTTTTGGAAATCATATACTTTGATCAATATAACACTTTCTCCTAATGCCAGACACCTGAAAATGGGTTGAGGTTGTTATTCAGAGGTAATGCAAATGTTCCCTAAATTTCTCAGAATTCTACTTAATTAGTTCTTTCTAGAGGTGAGCCCTAGAACTACCTTAGCACAAATTTAATTTTTACAGATGACTAATTTGCAGGCTGATTCAAAACATATTAACTCAGAATCAAGGTCAACTAAGTTCAAAAGGAAATGCTCTCCAATTAGTGTGCTTAGAATTGCACATATTCTTAATATTTCAAATTTGGTGAATTTACAAATATTTTCCCCATATCTGGAAGTATTATCTTCAAACAAATTGTTCTACAATTTAAAAAAGTGATTGAACACATAAAACATCCATTGCTTCCAAATGACATGCATAGAAACAAGATTACTGCACAAGTCTGTCTAACAAATGTCTAATTGAACATTTCAGCTCATTAAATGCTTGAGAACAGGGAATTCATTTTTTTAAATAGTTGAAGAATAACATGGAAACTACAGTGTTTGATTTTCATTTTAAAAGTTCAAACACTCTTTGTATTGAGCTTTGCTGTTTGGACATGAGATCATTTATTCAAGGTTAAAGATACAACATTCGCATTAAACAGAGCCAAGAAATGGCAAAAATAAATCTAAAGCCTCATTTTTACAGTGTTAATTACAATTTCAGCATGTAAAAATAATATAGCAAACACAGCCTGTTTAAAAAAACAAATTGAAGCATCATAAATAACCATCTAAAAGGCAACACTTTCCACAGGAATCTACCAACAACTTTCTTGTTGAGTATGTCAATGCTGCTTCAGCTGTTGTGGGGCCCTTAGCAACAATCTCTTCAATACCTGGTCCCTTTTCCCACCTACCCTCTATCATTTGCCCCCCCCCCCCACTTCTAGGCCCAAACTATAAAACCACTTAGAGGAAAAAGAAAAGGCAAATGAAAAATGTTTATCTTTTCCTTGTAACAACAAAGAACTGATAGTGGAGGAATGCTGGTTCAACAGGTGCTCCCAAACAATAGCCCTGAAAGAGGTACCTCAAAGTGTGGTGGATACATGCAGGTTTTTCTAATTCATACAAGCTTGAGCTTCTCTATATAAACTATACAGAGCATGGAAATATAAAAGCATCTTGAGTAAAATATAAAATCCCAAAGACTGCATGCTGTAGAGGATCCCTTGGTCCATGCCCACTGAGATGCTATCCCAGACTAATCCAGTGTCGCCTAAACTACATAAACTATCTTTACATTAGTATTATTAACAATTTTCAAAGTAATCCCATAAGCGAATTTTGGATTACATGAAGAAATACTTCACATCATCTGTCATATGGAGACTGAGCTAAATTGGACAGTGCAAAGAGAAGCAGAGAGATGGGAAGGAGGGAGAGAGGAAGTGGCCTTCGAAATGTAGTGGACTACAATATGATTATCTCCGGCCACTGTTGCCACTGATCTTGAAGCCTGCAAGAGACGGGACAGATCAACTCTAAGGCTGTTGTGCAACACGTGCAGGCAAAAGTCGAAAAGTTTAGACAAACGCAAAAGAAACGCCAATCGGCACCTTACACGAGAAGGAAGACGCACCAAATTCAGCGACGCCCTAAAACGAACTTGCGTGCCTGGGGCCCCTACAGCAGAAGCGACTGCTCCCAACCCCACGACTTTAGTCACTTCTTTCTGGACGAGTGACACATCAATACAGCAATTGTTATTATTCATCTAAGCCGCTCGCACGCCGGCGCGTCCTCCCACAATTAGCTTTCAGAGCAATCATTTCGTGGGCTTATATGGCGTGAGCCACAAGGGATATGAGACCTCTGCAGACAATGGGAAAGGGGCCCTTCCACCCCCGCCGGAGGTCACGACCTGCTCTTACAAATACGAAGATGAGGAGGAAAATAAAGTTTCCCCAAGAACCAAGAAAATGCACCCGTACCGCGCCCGAGCCAGCATTCACGGCTTCTCCTCGCTTGCAAATCCGGCCAGCGTGCTGGCCCCGCTGCTTCCAAAGCCCCGGGTTTTCCTTCTGGAGGAGCGCAGCAGGCGCGCGCAACCCGCATCCGCGAGACAGCCTCCCAGCTTGGCGCACGAGCTCCTTCGCGGTTCCTCTCTTTCTCGGCGGCGGCCTTAACCCGCTCGTGCGCGGACCCACGCTCGCTCCCGTCACTTCCACGGTTGGCTTTTGAAAAGCGCAAAGCCGGTTTCTGGGGGCTGTTCCAGCGCGAGCTATTGGCCCCGCCTCCGGGTCTCACCCCAACCAATGAGAACTAGGTTGTCAGGCTAAGGCCGGCTCCCCCTCCCGACTGTTTCTCGGATCGCCTCCCCCTTTGAGTGGCAGGAGTGCGTGCAATCAGCTGCACGAACGCCACGAATGGGCGGCCGGAAATGAGACACGGGCCGAAGTGGGAGGGAGGTGATGGTTGCTGCGGAGGATGGTTAGTCTTGGAAAGGCGAGATGGGAGAGGTAATGGTCGGTCCCGTTGCTCAGGTCTAAATGGAAGTCGTTTTGTTCGTGCTCAGAGGGACGTCTGCCATCGTCTGGCTGAGACGCGCCTTTGATGTTGAGAGTAAGTTTAGGGGCAAAGTCCAGTATAGTGCGCCCTGGAGAAAAAAAATGAGACACTTGATTAAATAAAAGCTCCACCATAAGGCATTTATCTCCTGCTGTAAGTCATTGTTGACAGCTGTTAGCCTCAAAGCGTCCATTGCGGAGATGGTGTCACCTGGCAGGACAAGCCCTAAACCACTAAAGGTTTACCCCCCTCCCCCATTTCAGTTATATCGCTTTTAGGCCAATGAAGGGGGCATTCTTGAAGAGGCCACTTGGAAGACTGAGTGAATGGATGAGAAGGCCAAGTCAGAAATTACAAGGCGACCAATAAAAAGAGCAAATATTGTCCCCTGACACCTCTAGAAAATCCCCCAGGGCTGAATTACCCATCCTGCCATGTGCAGGGTGGGGGAGGGCACTGTTGCCTGAGAAGGTTTTTAATTTTTTTTGGTCCTGCTTTGACGAAATGAGGTGGAAAGTAATAGGCCTGCAGCTAAAGAAAACCTGCATGTTAATGCAGGATGTGGCTGTGGTTTAGGGTATGATGCACTTTAAATCATCCACATCTCCTTTTAACCATTTTACTAGTTTCTCTTTCACAGCAGCCATGTGCCCTGTAGTCCAGGTTCATAGAAGGACTTCCACAAGTTCTACAGCTCTTAAGTAATTTTAAGTATAGGATTGCATCCTGTGATGCACAAATATACCTTCTGAAAAGGATACAGACAAAATCCTATGCCCACATTCAATCTATTCAAGCAGGATGGCAGTATGTTGTATTGTGAAAGATACTTCGGTAGAACACCGAGTTAGTTGTGCCATCTCTGAAAATCAGCCACCTCTAAAAAATATTATTTGTTTTAAAATTGGAAAGCATCTGTACTTGTGTATTTATGCTATTCTCAACGTTTGTAGAGGCTACCTTGTTAATTTTCAGTGGTCCAGTTTTGTTTCTAAACTATGAGCCTTCAGTTATCCAAATATGACTTGCAAATATATCCTGATGTTGTAGCAAAAGTGTTTCAATTTGGGGCTTATTTATGAATTCTTTATATAAAGCATTGATCCATACACTTCAGCCGAAAAGGCTCCTAGTATGGCTTACAGATTAATAACAACAACAAAAGATGTTTTTTATCCTCAGGCTTACACCAAAAATAAAAAAAGGAAAAACAAGAATACCCCAAAATCAATTTTGAAGGCTACAAATGCTTGTACAACAACCAAGCGTTTTAGATTACATTTGGGGAAAATACAATACCTAACAGAGTTGAATTCTCGGAAGCCTGATATTAGCTTTGCTTCCCATCTCTGTCAGAGACAACCATATTCTATTACTTCTTTTCCATCTCTCCCTGAGGTACTTTGGACTTTTTCCCTTTGGATTTATTATTATTAGCATTATTTATTTGTATTTTTGCCAACTATGGAGTTTCCCATGCAAAATTCCATCTTGATTTCCCTATTTTAGCTTTATAAAGCTCAGCATACAGCACCTGTGTTAGAGGTATGGTGATGATAGCATCTTCTTTCTGCTCCACTTTATGTTCTATTTCCACTTTTTCAAACAAAAATGTAAGTAATTAAAAAAAAAGGCTAGAACATTATTGTCTGAGAGTAATGGCTATCACTATCTCACTATGGCTGTAGGTGCTAGGCCATCCACTGCTGGTGGGGTGGTGGTGGTAGTAAACCTACTGCCTCTGCAGGATGTGGCTCAAGAGCAGGATAGGGTGGCTTCTCGCATGGCAACAACTCAGATACAGCTGGCTTTAATTCAGCTCCTTCCTTACAAAAGGAAAACCCCATTTGCCAGCCATCCAAAAGCTAATAAAACTACTCCGACTTATAAAAATCCAACTGACTGGCAATCCAGTCTATGACATCAGACAAGATGGGGCATATGCTGGTTGTGAATAAGTTATGTTGTCCCAAGGCATTGCAGTTGTGGAAATTTACCACACCTCCTACTGTCCAAGTCAATTGTCGTTACATGACATTTGTTAGCTCACTTTTTAATATTAAATTAGTTATCTGAGAAACACATCATATCATACTCAGGGCCAATTCAGAGTGGGTGGGGAATACCTTCTGTAGTAGCAGCCTTTGACCACAATTTAAAAATATCTCACAAACCCTAGGGCAGCACTATGTGCTTAAGAATACTGTGGACAAAATAAAACATTGAGTAACAGCACTGACAGCTGCCCAGAGTTGCCAGTGGCTAACATTTGCTTCGACTGTAACCAGCCATACATATTAAAGAAAGATGTGAAATGTCCATGTGTAATATGACTGGACTGCAGTTAGGCAGCCTTTCATGTGCAGCTATCATTGTAAAATACAGAAAATTATTTGGTACTTTTCGCTAAAGATGTCAACTTAAAATATTTCTGCATTAGAAAAATAACTGACAGATTGCATGTGTCTGAATTTGATATTTTAGGATTACCACTTCCATTGACATTGAAGTGTATGGGTTTTACAGTGCAATTATCTTCATGATTAGTTAAAAATAAATCTTACTGTATTCACTAAGGTTTATTTCCAGGGAATAGTTCATAGAACTGCTGGCTTGATTAATAACATCCATATAAATAAATAGTTTTGGATGATGTTTGTTCATTCAGAATAGGCATATGTTGCTTATATGAGATAAGAATGGAGTGCATCCTCTAGGATAGAACCTGCCACATGTTTTACATTTAAAATAAAAATAGAAGCACATTTCAGTTCTTTAACAGGTTTATATCAATTAATCTAGGTAATTAATGGACCAAACTACTGGAGGCCTAGTTATTTTATTTTAATTATTTTAAGTGTACCATAATTATAATTAGGACTATATCCACCCTTGCATTTTACACACCTCCATGTAGATCTGAAATTTTAGCTGTTCAAAAATAGGTCAGTAAAGTTACTAATTGGGATTCCCTATTCTGATGCTATATCAAACTACTTTTCCATTTGGTCTGGATGCTGGACAATTCAGACCATTCATTTTGCTCTTTGCCTAAAGTCAAGTTACCAAAAGAATTGGCTCTATCCCCACTTGCTTGACTGTACCTTTAGATTTTCTTCAGAACCTTTTCTTAGAGTAGCATCTGTCAAAGAAACTTTAACAGAAAGTTCTTTTAGTAGTGGTGCCCCAAAAAGCTTGCCTGGTACTTTTATTATTCTCTTTTCAGTGTCAGATGAAAAGCTTTTTATTTAGGCAGCTGTTCTAAAATCACTTAAGATCTTCAATTTATTTATATAGAATGCACTATGTTTCCTCTTCTTTGTTAACTATCCACATGACATTATTAATTGGTTGATATACAAATTTTAATACATTTTATAATATGCATATTTAAGAAAATATTTAGCAGATCTTGGGCTAAATTCTGCATTATATAATATGCACATACCAAGCAGTTTTTGTTGAGTGTGTATGGTAACAGAAACCATCACATTTTACACTGCAGTTCCATCTTACATGACCTTCACTCTAAATTCTATGATGGCAAATATTTTTTTCACTATCTCTGTCTAGAATCTTTAGTTGAATCCACCCACAGAGTTAGTTATACATTTCTGTCAGAGCTGAACCTACGCACCTGTTTGATTGTAATTATAATTTCATGTCACTTTGCCAAACAAAGCAAAAGAGCTCAACACATGTAAGAGGTTCACTGGATTAAGATTCAGAGTACATTTGGCACAGTATGAAGAGAAAAGCGTTCCTAGCATACCAAGTAGTATACAGGATGAAAATTAAAAGATGGCTGCAATTAAGATGCTTTGCATTCTTATGGGATATAGTTCCAGAATGCAGAAGGACAGCAGTTATGTGCCTCCTTGGTATATAATGTCTCTTCTGTAGAGCCTTTTGGAGACAGAAGTGTTCCTTGCTATGGTCTTCTAAAAGCAAAAGATACTTAAGTTGCGAGCCCAGGGAATTTTAATTGGAATATTTGCTATAGAGCTTTCAGTGTGCATCACACTTCATAGAGAAGCATAGATGACAGTAAGGGCCCCCAAAAACTTCAGGATTAAAATGAGAGAGGAAGGGAGTTGAGGGAACTGCTTCAGTAAGAAGATAAGGGTTATGGCTAGACAAGATAATAAAGTTTCATATGATATATACCATTGTTTACCATCACTTCACATAACTCAGGTACTTTATCAGATATTTATTGTAGTATTTTTTTCCTTTTTATTCTGTTGTTGTAAGTCTTGATACATTGTATTGTTTCAGTACAGTAATTATATAATATAATGGAAGATGATTAACATTCTATTATTTAGATAATTTAAAGTATTGAAAGTAGAGAAGAGAATGAAATAAGATATTCTATCAAAATTAGTTACAGTTTAGGATATCAGTATTACAAGCATTAAAATTATTTAGCTTTTTCATTCAAAGTTGAGTATAATATTGTAGTATTTTTGTTTACCCCCAATAATAGAAGTTCTGAGCCAAAAACAGTCTCATGGCCTTCCCTGCGGCTGACAAGAAAAGCATAATTCAAGATGATTTTCACATAGCATATGATAGAACTTCTGTTATTCCTACCCACTTGACTTATACATGATTGCAGTTGGTTCAGCAGGAAAGTACTATAGTTCTACATTAAAACCCATAC